ACAACTCTCCCAACTGTACCATTGTTTCACTAAAGGATAGTCCACAAAATCTTACCAAAAGAGGCCAGTGCATAGTGTTCTGGGCACTTTTGAAAATCTGGCTCTTGTTCTGCCACCCAAATGGAGCTGAACTCTTACGAGAAACTGGTCTTCTAATGCTCAGTAACGGTGCTCTTTCTGACTGAAGTCTTGCCTAGAACAGTTTTAGAACATCTTTCCTATACATTATTCTACTGTTTGGGGGGAAATATTGGGTCATGAGGGTAATGTGATTTAGCTATTACTTTTAGCTGTACTCAGGAATTCAAAATGAACTTTTTTGCAGAACTATCTGAAACTCAGGCTTCCCACTGAGATGGTAAAAAAAAGTATGAAGCAAGGGACCTTGATAAGCATTCATTGTTGGCCTAACATCGTTCATATTGCAGTAAGTGAGAGCATAACCATTGGTTTCATTGCGAGCTGTAAGTCAGCATTGGGTACTTGTGAAAATCCCATCCAAAGAGTCTGTATGCACTGATCTATAATTAAGATTTTCAAAATTAGTATAGGACAAGTCAGATTCTTAGATCTTGCTGTCATTACCTGGTCAGTTGCTCTGTGTTTAGGGATTCCAGATTCCTCTAGTGTGTGTGATAGAGTGTTTGCTATCATACCTGTCATTGCTGGAAAAATTACCAGATTTATAAGTGGCTGAAATAAAAATATACTCTTCAAAACCCAGGGATGAACTTCTTATTTTAAAAGTTAAATATATTGGTCCTTTTCTAGGAAGCTTCTGCCAGTGCCATGTATCAGATGGCTGAGCATATGAAACACTTATAGATAGCATCGGGGCTGTTAATTTTTTATTTTCAACATTTGCATTTCATGACTGAAAAGAGAGCCTGTTGCTTGTAGCTAGAGCCAATGGCATGTAAGTTTATTGGGCAGAAAAGCTGACCTGTGTGAAGACCAAAAATAACTCATAGAGTTCAAGGGAATATGGATATGTATTAGAACGACTTTATAGTGCATATGTAATATATAGACAGGCAAGGTTCTTTGAGTAGATGTGGTATCTTTTATTAGACCAACTGAGTAATTGGAAACAAATTCTTCGCAAGCTTTCTGGTGCAATCACCCTTCTTCAGGCATAGAGAATCTCTGCTGTTCATATGTAATGTATTCATCACAGAGATTTTTATAAGACCACTCCATGAGTAATGTTCTCATAAGTAAGAACAAAATTAAATGAGGTTCTCATGACAGATCCTTAAATACCAGTGGGTATTTGTGTATATAGTATAGAGAGAGTTTATATATATACACAGACATACATGCAAATAATGCATACTGTATTATATATAGTATGTGTATGAAAAGAACAAAGATGGAAAAATAATTAAGGTAAGCTCTTAAAAATAGGAAGACTCTGGATATCTGTGTGAGAGAAATTCTTTTGGACAAAAGCAAGGAAAGGGGCATTATCTGTAATTAGAAATAATAATGTGTAATTGGTTCATTTGCCATATTTCTACAGTTCTGATTTAGTTGAACAATGTGATCATTGTGCCACCAGTTTTCAATAGAGGTGTCACAATGAAAAATAATTGCAATATTCCACAATATTAACTGCGCCCTAATTGCAAAAGTTTTGAAATATAATTACCATGAAAGCTAATGCGACAGGGAACATTAAGCATAATTAGTGTATTAAAAAAGGGAAAAACTGTTAGAAGCTTGTTATTGTCTCGTAAGGTAGCTTCAAATTAGCTGAATGTAGAGCACTTTCATCTAGCTTTTCTGTAATTTTCATTATTAGCACAGACTGTAATAAATTTATTTGACATAGCCCACACCTGCCAACCCTGCAGGAGAGAGCTTCTAATGTGCACAGGTCCCAAGCTTTCCCACTGAATCTGTCAGAACTTCCTGGGAGGCAGCAATGGGTAAGGTTATTTTTTAAAAACAAACTCAATTGCACACTACACTGCTCAAAGTTAACACTTAATCTTTGTTTTAAGTAATTTCTACAGCAAGCCAATATACATAAAAGCCCTATTGTGAAGTGATCCAAATAGTCAAGTGAATGAAGAGTCAGAAGACTTATAGGATACAAATATGTTCTCACCACACCATGTCTCCCTCACAGAAAATTATCCCATGCACAAATGTTCCATTGTTTGCACAGAGAGGGGCTAGCTTTAGGTGAAGCATGACAGTTCACACAACATGGCCCTGTTTAGTTTAAGTAGGTGAAAATGATGTTGCTCCAGCTTTGTATTAACAGTTTCTATAGTCTGACATGCTAGAAGGCAATCAATAGCTAAAGGCTCTGCTTATCTTAAGAGCCACCTCTTTCAAGTAGTCTTCTCTGTGATCTTTGTAGCCAGTTCATTGAGAGATTTAAACGGGGTCTGCAACATTTTCTGGCAGTGGGCCAGAATGA